ATTCCTTTGATGTCATTATGCTTGTGAAAATTAGATAAAATTACATAAGACAAAAATTATAAAATGAAAACTCATTATAAAATCATTTTTTGTAAGAAGTTGTTTAACAACGAGTATTTCTGATTTTTTTCGAGGTCAATTACCAATTCCTTTATATTTGTGAAATTGGATAAAATTAGATAAGACAAAAATTATAAAATGAAAACTCATTATAAAATCATTTTTTGTAAGATTGTTTAAGGGCAAATGTTTCTGATTTTTTGAATTGGGGCTATAGTAGGGATGACAGAGAAAATGTTGGAATGAGAGAGATGAAAAAGAAAGGGTTGAGAGGAATTAACCTTAAAACTTAGAATCCATGGTATATAAGGGTATTTTTGTCCACTAAAACCCGGTACACATTGCTAAAATGTAGAAAAACAGGCAAAGGTTGACATATTCACCTTCAGGCAAAGGTTCATTCAAGATCTCTTCAATTTCACCATCTTTAGTAACCTCTATAATTTCATCATCTACAGAGGTTGAATCATCATCTCTAAAAAATTATATACGACAAAAATTATAAGGGTTAAATATGTTTTTAGTCCCTAAACTATTGCCCGTTTCTGGTTTTCGTCCCTCTTTCAAAGTAAGGTACAATTTGGTTCTCATTCTTTTCGAAACGTTCGTTTTAGTCCTCGAAATTTTGGTTGTAGTCCTCATTTTGTTGCTAAATGAGGACTAAATTTTTAAACGGTGTTAGTTTTCGAGGACTAAAACGAACGTTTTCGAAAAGAATGAGGACCAAATTGTACCTTACTTTGAAAGAGGGACGAAAATCAGAAACGACCAACAGTTTAGGGACTAAAAACATATTTAACCCAAAATTATAAAATGAAAACTCATTATAAAATCATTTTTTGTAAGAAATTGTTTAACAAAGAGAAAGAGTTGAGAGGAATGATAGAGTGTGAGTAAGGGTTTGAGGTTTTTTTTTTAGTTTTGAGAATGAAAATTATTAAAATACTCTTAACCTTAAAACTTAGAATCCATGGTATATAAGGGTATTTTTGTCCACTAAAACCCGGTACACATTGCTAAAATGTAGAAAAACAGGCGTACGCGCGTTAGCAAACCCCTATATATATATATAATATAATTATTTAAAAATAAATTTAACAAAATAAATTTAAGAATACTGTAATAAATAATTAAATTAAATATTTAATTTTTTTCACTGCGTATCAATCACATAATCTATTATCCTTCCACTCATTTTACTTATTTTCTTATATTCATTAATTTCACTCTTTTAATTCTCTTTTTCTTCCCTTTCCAGTCCTGCCTGTAAATAGCTATTGTACATGTCAATGCTCTTACAGAAGACTAATAATAATTATGTATTTAAAGAAAATAGAAGTAAAGATTTTTTATTTATTTCATTTTACATCCAGCAATTAATGATGATGGATGAATTTACAAAGTGAGGCCGGACGAAGCGAGGTACAATGTTAGCACAGAAGAAAGTGGAAAAGCTAGTCGAGTTGGAGAATCCGAGTCACGTGTAGGTGATCCACGTGGCACCGCGTTTTCTGTCCCTTTTTACTTGGGCGTTTACCAGCTCTTATCGTACGCTACCTTTCTTTCTGCCCCTTTCACATAACTACTCATTTTATTTTGTGCACCTCTGGAAAAGGTGAACACTCTAAGCGTTGCGTTTCCCCGGTCCGACGAGGGTTTAGATGGATTTGGCGAGCCATGAATCACCTACCTCGACTATTCGGCAATAGAAAGAAGCCTCCAAACATGGACCCCAAGAAGAGCAAGACGCGAGGCAAGAAGCAGCAGCCCAAGCTCGAGCGCCGCAACGCCGCCAAGCACTTCGAATACGACGCCGGATCGTCGTCTTCTTTGCGAGGTGACTCCGCATCCGTCTCCACGTCGTCTTCCTCGTCGTCTTCGTTATTTACGCGTTCAATGGACTTCTACGGCCACCGGAGCTTCCGAATCGATGGCGTGGAGGGCGAGTTCGACCGGATTTGTCAAAGCCTCGGCCTCTCCGGTCCGGAGGACTTCTCCATTCCGACCGCCGCCTGGGAGGCCATGAAGCTCCGCTCCTCCTCCGACATCCCGTTGCTCCGGAACCACGACGGGAAGGCGTTGGACGAGGAGGCGAAGGAGAAGGAGGAAATTGAAGCGGTTGAGAGCGAGTATGAGGCTAGGGTTTTGGATGAGTGTGTTGTTCCTGCTGAGAGCAGTGGTTGCTGCACCGCTGGCGGCGGAGGAATTAAGGGTTTTCGGCCTCCGATGCTGAAGCCGCCGCCAGGGATTAGGGTTTCGGTGGTGGACGAGACGTGTTCGACATGGGATTTGTTGCGGGATTTTGCGCCGAAAGGGGAGGGAGGGAAGGAGACTTACGTGGAGTTGAGTGCTTCTGATGAAGATGAGGACGGAGAAGTAAAGGAAGAGGAGGATGAGGAAGAAGGGGAAGTTGGTGGAGTGAGGGTGGAGAGAGAAGAGGAGGAAAACGCGGCGAGGATTGCGGATATTGTGGATGAGTTTTCTGGGTTTTCTACTTCGAACGAAGATGATTCTTCTAGCACTACCACGGGTCCTAATTCTAGTAATATATCTCCTAATGGGAGAATCAAGCGTGTGATTACCGCAGGTAACTGGCAGAAGGGTGAGCTTTTGGGGCGTGGTTCGTTTGGCTATGTCTATGAAGGGATTTCTGAGTAAGTGCTTTCGAGCCCATCACTTCGCTTATACTCGCTCAAAGTTATTGTTAGAAACGAAAGATAAGCCTTATTGTTTATTTCATTGTTTACTGTGGTGTTGGAGTTAGAGAATAGGGATCCAGATGGTGTGGTGGTAGTAAGTAACATTACAATGTTGTGTTAAGAGAAAGAGAAACAATTATAGTAGGGCCAGTGAGAACAGTTTCAGGGATTCGGTTCATCTATTTTATTCCTCTCTTTCTACTCAAATCTTTGTAGGATACTATGTTATGGAATGTTAGTGTTAGAATTAGGAGATTGGCAGGTTAGTTGTAGAAGGTTTGGATATGAGAATATGTTGGAAAAGCATATGACAGTATGTGAATGTCAATTTTGTTGGAGAGTGCTTACCAGTACGCTATAGCTGATAGTCAGGATAACTCTTTCTACTTAATATCAGCCCAAACATCACGGTCCTATTGTGACTTGGCTCACCTAATTTCACCTTGAACAATTGATGCCACTCCTAACAAATTTTTATTTGTGTAATTGAGGAGGATCAGTTATTGCTTCCAGTTTTTGTTGTCAACATAAATAGTAACTATTTGTTATGATGGGCAGATTAGGAAATGGGATGAACCTTGAATTCTTTTGGCCAATATTTATCATTGTTTTCAGTTTGTGGACTGAAGCATAGCCGTGGTTGTTGGGAAAATGTCTTGCTCCTTAAATAATATGATCAATCATTTCCTTTCTTTTCAAAACAGTAATTTTTTGACAGTGAAGAAGTGATCGGATCTATTGAGATGAAAGGAAAGATGATTTCTTGTGCTTTCCTTAGTTATTTCTACACATAAATATTCAGGAATTATGACCAAGCTATCTAAGGAAACTAAATAAATTAAGGAAATAAGGAAACATGCAAATAGAATCAGGATGATATCTGAACATATATAACAGAACTTTTAAACTGTCTTGTACTTTTGGTTAACGATCTATT